ACAGATGCATCCTACTGCCTACTGGCCTACTGCACTTTTCTACAAGGGACTCGACTGCTGCCCCTACTGCACTGCATCCCAGATTCTGGAATTTTGGCTCCGTCTCACGCCCTACAACTACCCTCTTAGACTGAGTAACTTCGAGAAACAGCAGCTTCTCGGACCTCCAGCTGCTTGCCCGCGAAGATCAGGCGCTGCTGATCTGGGGGAATGCCTGGCCGGGACTTTCCGTGGCTATTGCTTGGAAGCAGGGTGTGAGATTTCAAGAGGTCGTTTGCTTTGACTTGTGCTGTAGAACCTCTGGACCACTCTGTGGAGCCCGTGATTTGGAGTTGTCGGTGCTGAGTTGTTTCAGATCGAACGTGTGAAGGTGACATCGGGGAATCACCAAGAGCGCAGCAGCAGCACGCCTTCCTTGTCCTGGATCTTGGCCTTCAGTTTTCTGCTTTTGCCACAAGGCCGAGACTGAACTCCTGCGCACCTGGCCTTGACGTTGTCAATGGTGTCCGAGGCCTGGCGCAGACTCAGACAGTGAGTGTGACTGGATCTAGCTTTTACTTCGGGCATGCGGAAGACCTCGACGTCCAGGGTGATGGTCTTGCCAGTCCTGAGAGTCTGAGCATCAGTTTTATTGTATTGCAGAATTCTCGGGTCTGGATTCGAGGCACCACAATTCTGCAGCGGGCCGGTGAACACCCTCACGCGTATCTCGTTCATGCACCGTCAAAACGTGGACTCGGGTGCACAGCTCTCCTCGGTCCTAAGTCCTAGGAGGTCGACAGGAAACAAAAAGCGCGCCATAGCACGCCCACACTTGGTCTGTTAGCGGCAGCCATAGCAGCTGAGCATCAGGGTCTTCACGAAGATCTGCATGGCCGAGAAATGGCGTCAGAGAGACGGAGATGTGAGCGACGAGGCTTTGAGCTCTGAATTGCTGCGTGTGCTCCACTGCTGACCTGTAGAACAAACCTCCATGCACCTGTCAGAAAGTGCCAGTGGGATGCAACTGCCAGCGGTGTCTTTACTTCAACTCAGCACACGGCGCGCAAGCGTCGTCCTTCAGACTTTTGATGCTGGTGTCCCTGGCCTGGGGCCGGCAGGCGCATTCCAGAAATCTTCAGTCATCACAACCTGAAGGAGGGGTGGGGGCAGCCTAGCAGCGCCGAGCAGGGCGAGACTTGGGGCCCCCGCAATGCGGTAGGTGAGGTTCTTTCGCGTCTCGGCATGGGGTACGGCATAGGTGACCAGCACCGTGTCCCGAAGGCTCCCTTGGAAGTCAGCATCCGCGCACAGGGTACGAGTATTTCAAGCTCACCGAGGCAGCTGGATAGCACACGGCCTGAGAGCGGCACGTTCCTCTTCGATGTCTTCTCCTGGCCTACAGCTTTTCATGGTGGTGGTATGACAGTCTGACAGACTATCTAGCCACCCATGGTCGGCCGCAGCTACCTCACAAGGGTCCACCCCGCATGAGAACCCGGCTTGAAGACCATGAGGCGTGCTCCCTCGTACTCCTTGAAGCCAAACCTTGACCAGATCAAAGACAACAGTCTTCACGTCACCATGTCATTATGCGCGCAACCAGATACCCTTGGTCCACTGGTCGTTGGGATGTGGCATCCCAAGTCCAAACTGCCCGCGCCCGGAACGCACCCCCGGCAAACTGAGCCCTTCAGCGCTCGGCTTGGTGCGCTCGATGCGCTGCTGCTTGGACATCTGGAGAGGGTGTGGGGGTGTGCATGGGCAGGAACAGTGCAACAAAGACGGGGCTGCCAAAGAGATGTGGTTCCGACACTTGCAAGGCTGGCCATTTTTGCAACGCTTGCATGCCTCTGTCTGCAGCTCTCTCTCGATGAAGTTCCGTGCGCTGGCTCCCCGCTGCTCGTGCACCTGCGGCTCAACGAGATGTTGCTATCGCCTCCCTGGGCGAGCTCAGCATTGCAAATGTTGGAATTGATATATGTTTCTCGCTACTGACTCTTTCGCTGCCGGCGGCAGCAGCACAGTTCTCCGAGAAATGGTTGCTACACAATGCTGACCGGAACTGGACTGCCTCACCGCTCTCGTACCCTCACTACACGAAGTACTACATGCATGTTGCTTGGGGTCATCATAATGATTTCATAATGACCTTCTGACTGTCAGGCTTCCGGGACATTGAATGTGGTGATTGTTTGCAGCTTCCTCAATTGAGTTGGATGGCTTGCTTGCAGTCACAGTCACGAGTCACTACCAGCTCCCAGCATCTATGCATACAACTTCGCTGTGACCGCATGTTTGAACTGCTGTGTTGTCGAGAGAGGCTAGATTGTTGGACACTGGCTATTCCATTTGCTCGGATTCTTGCTGTAGCTGGTTGTGGCTGGCACTTCGATGTTTGATTTTCAATGTTGTGCTGTCGACTGCTGCTGTCACTACTTTACAGGCACGAATCGCACTGCGTACCATGAGGATTGGACGACCACCCCTAGAACGAGCATCATCTACATTCTTGACCAACGGTATTTTAGAGTTCTGCAGCCTGTCTGCTGGACGCAGGACTGCCTGCGCCATGTCGTCATGCGGATCGCCATGGAGGCTCAAGACCTTCTTGCTTGGAGTTTGGGCCCCAACAAGCATGAAGTCCTAAAGAAGGCTCAAAGCTTGGGGAGTAGTCGTCAACTACGTACCGTGCGGCATCTGGTTCCGTGGGCACTGCCATGCTTCCGCTTCTGAGACGCCTGCATCTGGTTTCAACCGCCTGCCCAGCGCTGGGCCAAACTGAGGTAGCTGGCGCAACAACTGGGCCCATTACCCCACAAGACCTTCCAACCTTGAGAAGTAGAGTCTGCTCAGGTCTACTGCGATTCCGTGGGACCTGTCGGATCGGCGCCGATTGATCTCCTGCTCTGCGAAGAACTCGAGTTTGCCTGGGCCAAGTCGATGAAGCTCTGGAGAGAGCATGGAAACATGCATGGGTCAGTTTCGGAAGCCCTAGCCAAGTTCTGGAGCCCTCCGAGCTGCCGGCGCTTGTCAGCTTCGACTTGGCGGCTGGACAGCTCTTGGTTCGTGATCTGCGAGCAGGATTGAGTTCAGATGGGGAAGTCTGTCTGGTCTCTGCCTTGAGCTTCTCCTCCAGGCGCTCCAGCTTCTCCTGACCTATAGCTGCGGTGTCACGGTCTTGGCTCAGCGACAGAACCAGTGGTCTACACCTGGGCCAAAGGCGGAGGGACTTCTCCACTTGGAGCTGCTTGAGGTACTGCCGGCAGGCATACAAATCCAAGCCTCAAGGATCAGCAACGCAAGACAACGCAAGCTGCAAGCTTTCGGCACCGCAGACGGACTCTGGCAGGCAAGAGCCAAGGTCTGTTTGCTGTCTCTGCTGGCACCGCAGACGGACTCTGGACGGCAAGTGCCAAGGCCGAGGCCATGGATGGCATCCTCCAGCTCTGAGTCCTCTTCCGGCGACAGCATGGGGCACTTTCACTTGGAGTAGCTGGGAGGTGCTAGCGGCATCTAGCGCCGCTTTCAGTCCCACCGACTCCGACCCCTTCAATCTTAGAGCCTTAGAGCCTTGAAGGCTGTGCAAAATCTCCGACTCCTGCAGAGCCATCGAAGCGTCGCTTCTGCGCCCCCCCGGTGCTTCCTCTCCTTGCCTCGCAGGGTCCGAAGGTGCCCATCTTCTGGGAAGCAGATGGACATTTGCGAATCGAATCCGGGCTAAAAGCAACTGAACCCATAGGGTTTTGGGGCCCATTATACTATAGTTAGAATACGGAAACCTCACAACCAATCCTTGCCATGCTTGCTTTGCCTTGGGCTGGGATTCGATGAAGACACAGGTCGCCGACAACCTCTCCCTGGCACCCGAACGCCCAATAAATACAAAACGCAAAGACAGGCAGATAGGCAGCTACCAAGCCACAACACCAGGCCTCCTCCTGTCTTGAGAACTTGTGCTCACATGGAGCACTAAGGCAGAAGTCACTTCCTTCTAAGCTGCTGTCCATTTGGAGGGTTCCGGCTGTCCTAGAGTAGGGATGGAATCATTGGGCTCCTACTCTCCTGACTCCGTCGTCGTGTCGAGCTTCGGGTTAATAGGGCTCCAGACCTTCGTCCTCTCTCCCGAGCCACACGGCTGAAAGGGCCGTCAAGCCTGCACTCTGTACTGCTACGAGTATGTCGGAAAGCTCCGCTGCAGGCTGATCAGCTCATCTCGGAGGATGTCGAAATCTGCTTCATCGTGTTCCTTCCGCCGCGGCCACTGTACGCAGGTGTTCTGAGCTGCTCCGGCACGATTAGAGACCAAGGAGGTTCTTAGAGATCTCCCTCTCTTTGAAGCTTCTCTCGTTGACCGCGGACATGACAGGATATCAGGATCTATGAGAATATCTGCTTGCCACTGTGCACTGGGACAGGTCTGTCGCAAGGACCTCCTCGAGCAGGAGCTGCGAAAATCCAGCGACGGGAAGCGCTACCCGCTACCCTTCCTAGCTACGTGCACTGTAGGCCGGGGAAGCCTCGAAAATTACACCGACCGACTCGTTGATGTGTCTCCTCAAATCCAGAATCTTTACAAGTTGCTCTGGCAGTTTACTGTGATACTACCAGTAGAGTGGGCAGCCGAAGGAGACGGCAGTTTACTCCTCCTTGTCATGCACACGACAAGAAACCTGACGGTCGAAACATGGACATCTGGACGGCAGCGCTGGCACGGGTTGGAGGACAGGCTCATGGCTTCAAGAGGCTTCCAGAGGCTTCAAGCTCTTGGACTGACGAACTCGCAAGGCTGTGCAAGTGGCAGAGCCTCTCATCCACCCCGGGGCGGAAAAGTAAAAGACTGCACCAAATGGAGTTTCCCTCAATCGGAGGGAAGCTCCCGCAGCCTACTTCTGACGAAGTGCTTCAGGCACCACTAAGTGCAACCGGAGGCAGAAAGCGCTGTCTTGTCACAAGTGCAAGTGCTCCGTTTCGGGAAAGTGCGTAGTTGCCTCTGTGAGACGAGGTTCGAGGTTGCGCCCTCATGCAGACTCTGTGGGCGTGGACGCCGCGGGCTTCTTGACACGCACCTCACACTGTCGTGCTCAGCTCTTCCTCGAGGCCCTGCCTTACTCCGCATCCCCCATCATGCCCCCACCCCTTTGAGGCAAAGGCCATGATGAAGGCTGGATCCTTGATAATCGCCTGGAAATCTGAAAGACCACATCGGCTGGTGAGCCTCAGGTACAAAGGGGCGCGCAGTCCAGCACCACTCTTGGGCTCGACCGAATTCTCAAGGACAAAATCTCACAGTATGTCATACCCTCAGCTCAATGCGAACGCAACTCCTCTTCTGTCCAGAACTTGTAGGGGTTTCGATTGGTGCCCATCCTTGGTCAATCGAACTACGGGTGATGCATTTCCTGGATTTTTCTGGTACTGCAAGCTTCCCGAACTCACTTGGTTTTTTGACGCTCACACTCGGACAAGCCTGGCAACAAGGTCTGCAGCGATACAGTACTGGTATTGGCGACTCGTTCACTACCTCCTCAATAGACTCACTTAGTTTTTCAAACGGCTGCAGAAGCAAGCATCGCAGCCCATGGCCCTGTGCCGGTTCGGAGTCCCTCTCCCTTCTCTCCGGGCTTCCCCGCGCGCGCAGCGGGCCCCTGGGCATGAAGGTCGTGAGCACGAAGACGCCACCGGGCCTGCGGGCGACCGAGCAAAGGATCCGGGACGGCCGGGGATGCGATCTGAGACCGAGCCTTAAGACTCGGGAGACTTCGGCGACGGCAAGCTCTGGATTTGGCCTTCGGACGACGCACAGTCTTCAGGAAAGTGTCCAAGACAACCAGGGCTGGCACCAGCAGTGAATGGCAGCACCTTCCACTCAACACATGAAGGGCAAGAAATGGCTGGTGCTTAGCTTTCGGCAGAGAACCGCACATCTCTGTTTCCAAAGCGGCACCTGCGTGAACCCCTCCAAGAGAGCCGGACTCGAAGGGCAGGCGAGCCTTAGCCGGTGCTCTTTTTCGGAGGAAACATGAGGAAACATACGTGCCATCTCTGTGCAACTTGATCAGTCAGCTGATGGCTCAGAACTCCCGATGTCATTCAGTCTCTCGAGATGTGTCTAGCAACAGCTCAACGCCACGATTACCGCCCAAGCCACATCGAAGGCGGTACATCATGTATTTTCGAGGCACACTTAGTTTCAGAGTGCCCCGCGATGTCTGCTCGAACCAGCTGGAGAGCAGTTTTGCCCTCTCCGCCCTGTGCCTTGGTCGAGCTTCACATGCCACGATCAATGTAGCGTCGCTGTGCGGCCGGCCCATTTTCCGCCATCCCAACTTAGGTAATGGACATAGTCGGGTCCGATTTCCTGTCTGGCGAAATCATCCACCTGGCAGCACAGGCGATCGACTCAGCGACAGTTCCGCAGGCGCCGCGCCTGTCGCAGCATCGACTCGCTGAAATCCAGGGCGACGACCTCCGCAGGAGACTGAGGGATGGATGCTGCTCTTGCGACTTGTACTGCACAGCAAGCAACGTCGGCAGGATTACTAGCCACTAGCCGGTAGATCAGCTTCAAGCTGCTTCCCTGCTGCAACTGTTCTGTCGAAACGACAGGGGCACTCGAACATAGGTGTGCGTCTGAGTCGCCGTGGAATAGTCCCCGGAAGCAGCAAACCGCCTAGCGAACGCATGCCATGTCACATGATCAGATGTGGTCCTGATACGATACTGCTCACTCCGTTGCCTAACGTTTGGCGTCCTGTGCGTGCTATGTGTTTCACGTGTCTCCTGCATGGGCTGGCAGCCCGCACCTTCCTTCTGCCTTTATATTGACAACTGCGTGGTAAGCCCACCGCGGTCTAGGGTGCCAGCTTTGGCCACGTCAGGCAGGTGTGGGCTGGCTCCAGCCGGCAGCGGCAGCGGTCAGAGGCGGTGCAGGCCGGTGCGGCGGACCGCTGCGGGCTGTCAGCCCACAGTGGTCTGATGTGGCAGAATCGGCTCCCTACTACGCAGGCTGGCAGCCTGTACGCCCGCAACGATCGTGCCAGCTTGGCTACATTAGAGCGGTGCGCGCTGCCAGCCCCCATGCGTTCAGGGGGTTATGCAGCCCGATGCACTAAAGCCATCTAAAGTCAAATCCCTCCCTCATGCTACATAGGTCCTGCAGGCTGGCATAAGGCCGAAGACGGCATAAGCACAAGTGTCTACTAGTAAGTTGCACAGGTACTCACGCCAAAGCTGCTAAGACTTTGCGCATCATGCCCCTCCTGCTGAAGAGGCCCGACCCGCAAGATGCATCTAGCAGCGTGTCCTGCGCTCAGGCCCAAAGGCTGGTCTTCTGGGGCCGTGTGGCGGCATGCCCTTAAGGAGGTAGGTGCCCATCCTCTGCCAATGCTGTGAGCGAGTCGACAACCGCTTCTGGGTGTTAGTACTTCAAAAGTCTCCAGCGTAGGCGGAGCCAGCAGATGCCCGTAAAGCCCTAAAGTGTGGCGCACAAAGCAGCGGAAAGGTCCCCGAGCAGGCCGGTGCCCTCGCGCAGGAAGTCTTGGGCCTGGGCTCAGCCGCCGTCCGCTTCTTGCTGCAACTTCTGCAAACTATAGGACCTATAGGAGATTGGGACCGTAGCTTACTGAGGCTTACTGCGCTGGTCAGCTACAGTACAACCTTGCGGGTGATGCTAAGCCAACCTGCGACAGTTATAAGCCTGCAAAAATGGCCCTTGACCATCAGCACATCCATGCATCGCTGCATCGAAGAACTCCCTCGCTCCCAGCTTTGCCCTCGCCGCGCTGCGAGGCGAAACTCCTCGTCTGGCCCCGGGAAGCCGGAACCTGGGACTGTCGACAGTTGCTTTAGCTTCCATCGCAAACAGGAGCGGTAGCTTCTCTAGCTCATCGTGCGCTACTGTGTGTCTCGAGCCCCGGCTGGCAAAGCTCCTGCGCCAGCCACGCTCGTAGGCAAAGGAGACCAGCCTGGCTGCGCGGCCACACTGCGGCTTCACGCTTTGAAGCCAGGTTCAGGCTCGGCATTGCACAGTGGCCAGTGTGGCCATGGGCCGAGGCGGCACGTGCGTGGCGTGAGCGACTCACTTCAAGCAGACATGGGAAACCTGGACTCGGACGCCATGAAAGCTTGGAACGAACGCTTGCTGGGGCCCCGGCGGGCTCTGGAAGGTCGAGGTGCCAGCGGGCTGCAAGGGGCCTCCGAGCCTCAGCTGCCGTCTTCACGTTGTCAGGGCTGCACTACTCACGATCGGACTCCGATCGGACTCTCTCTTCAGCTCTTCAAGCCCGGAACGTCTCCTATCTCTCGCCGCATTCGCCGCGCCAGTGCTCCCTTCCGGGCTCCAGGCAAGCGCTGGGGCTCCTTCAGGAGCTCTCTTCCTGGGCCGGATGCAAGAACACCGGTTCAGACTCTGTGAGGCGCATCCATCCCGGTGCTCTGCGAGAGACGAGACGAGGCGCCCAGCTTCTCGACCTCCTGGCTCTGCGGAAGGCCCAACCTGAAGCCGGCGCTGAAGATCCTTCTGTGTTCTCCAACAGCTGCCCGGTAACGAAATCCTCTGTTTGGATTCCCGAAATCGGCTTTCTGATGCGACGCAGATGCAAACAATGCTTGAACTGCTTGAATCATGGGACTTCGGCAAACCATCGCCTGAATGGTTTATGTGTGCAACATGCTTCCACCACGGCAGCAAGCTTTCCTGAGGAAAAACAGTTCTACTCCCAGTGCGGTTATCGGCAGACAACGATCGTTGACAATCCGGCTTGTGAAGCACCCTTCACTTTACGGGGCACTGTAGCCGTAGCCCTGCAACTCCGAGCAAGTGGCGCGCCGGCGATGGCATCCGTCTGCTCTACGAACGGGAGGCGCCTCGAGCGGCGGTGAAAACATGTTGCAGAGATCCTCTGACCGGGTCATCCGAAACCGCGCATCGAGTGACCAATGCAGGCAGCCACATCTCTACCGGGACCAACTATCTCGGCTGCGATTCCAAAACTTCGCTCCTCTATGGAGTGGGCCATCAAGCGGGGTGCTATCACCCCTTTGCACCAGAGCTCTCTGACCTCAAAGCCGAACTCCAAATGCCTCTAGCTCTGCATGCCCTGCGACAGCATCGCGATGGAGGAAAGCATGTAAGCAGGGTCACCACAGAGCCCGCATGCCAGATCTGGCAAACTACCGAATCAAACTCAGCAACACGCTTCAGCAGCGATGGTTCCTCCTCCTGTTCCACGGCTTGTGGTGGTGCCTGCTCGCTGGCAGCAGGGGCAAATTCTGTCACATTCGCCCACCTCATACATATCAGAGATAAAAGAAGAACTTCCGAAGGTGGTCCCTGACGATGACGACGGCGACGACGACGACGACTGCTTCTACTGCCCCTACGACTGGAGGCGTGGTTCAGACACCTCGAAAACTACTTGGAATTTGTGCACCCCGACGGAACAAGATGCGCAAGCAATGCATGCAATACCATGTGTGCGCAAACGGGGACAGTGGAGTTTTGAGCACAAAGGCAGCTAGACTGCAAATCACAGGAGCGGTAAGGATGACAATGAGGACGAGACCGACAACAAGTGACACTAAAACTGCCACTACTGCTGTCGCAAAATCCAGTTGATAGTGATGCCACCATACGATGACGGCTACTCGCCCTCCAGTTTCTGCGAAAAAGAAACTGGTGACACCAAGCAAGTGTTCAAGAGAAGGTCAAACTGAAATGCTCTCGGCTCGGTCACAGACTCAAACATCCCATCAGCTCTACAATCAAAGCCATGTGCTCTCCCTTACACCGCAGTCACATCAACGACCCATCTCAAATTTTGGCTTTTCAGAAACACGCTGTCCTGTGAACCTGTCTCTACATCTTTGAGGAGTGTAAGGCTTCTGCTTTGCAGGTGCCCCAAAAAGTGAGTGTGCGTCTCCTCCTGGAGACCATGTCTGTCCTAACCTTGAGAGAGCATGGCTTGCCTTGTCTCAGCTTGGAGCATTGGGAGCTGTGCCAGGGACCGGATCGTGTCTACTATATTTAATTCCAGTGCGTTAAAGCCTGGCTCTTGCCAGGGCCAGAAAGCAAGCCGCATGCTACGAGTAAGCAAACCCTGGGGTCCACGAAGTTTCAAATCAAGCTTTACCACAAGCTTTCCACTCTCTACACTACACTGCAACACCCAAGTTTCACCGGATGCGCTTGCTCTTGCGCTCACTGTTCCGGGGCATCTTCCCGCCCGGCGAGCTGGGAACCTTGCCGGTGCCAATGCCGTGAGGCTCATCGAGCAAGTAACTCTGCATGGTTCGTTTCGTTCCGGAGCAGGCAATGACTTTGTGCTCCGTGAAATGGAACTGCTGAAAATTATTGCGGATCACCTCTACAAAAGTTGCGCTGCAACAAATTCGACCGGGCTCACCCTCTGATTCCATTTGGTTGCCAATGAGCACATCCTCGCCCCAGATGTCGAAGCGAAGCTGGTTGCTGCCAATTACGCCAGCCACGAACTGACCATGGTGCAAGCCGATTCGCATGTCAAGGCCTTCGTGCTGAACCTCGTTTCGAACGGACACGATGACCCGAAGCATGGACATGGCCAAATGGAGGAGCTGGTTGGCCCCGAGGACCTTATCCTCATGAACTGTCTTCGGCTCATTCACGGCCAGGTATGCATCACCGATCGTGCACACTTTGTATGCCCCGAGGAGCTTGCAGCAGTTGTCGAATCTTGCGAAAAGGTGCGTGACCAGCCTGACGGCTTCATTTGCCTGATGCGTGGCGCAATACTTCGTGAAGCCCACAATGTCGGCAAAGAGAAGTGTCATGTCGTTGTAGGTGTATGCCAGCTGCAAGTTGTCCGACTGCATTGACTCCAGCACCTCTTGAGGCAGGAGGGAATTCAGCAGGGAGTAGCATTCTTTGTGCTCCTTCTCAACCATCTTCAATCCCTCCAGGCTCTTTAGCTGGTACCACTTCAAGCTCGCGATCACGCGCACCTGCAGGATGAATGCAGAAAAAGGGTAGATGAGCCCGGAAGGGAAGTCAGCCATTGCGCCAAGCACCGTGGCCGGAAGAACAACCGCCAAGCAAGAAGCAAAAGCTGCAGTGGTCGCACGTAAAACATTCAAGTGCATCATGGCTGAGAGGTAGAACATCGACTCAAAGTAGATCCAGTAGCTGACTTCCTCCAAGCGCCCGTCGGCCAGACCGTACAGAGACGACGTGACTGCACAAATATAGCCAGCACCGATGAGCACGACTGCAATACCGAAGTAGTAGACTTCGCTCGGCCAGCCCAGTCTTTGTGCATCCGGGTTCATGTGTTCCTCCTCCTCATCATCCCGATCCGACACTTCCATGCCGGTACCGCCTGTACCATCTGCCTCACTCGCCTCTGCCCTGTTTTCAGAATCATCGCGTTCCTTCCTCTCATTTGCAGCCACACTCTGTGGGGTGCGCCCGCAACCTTGCCCCAAGGTCACGAAAGATGCGAGCACGATGATCACAAATAACAGTGCCGCAAAGGGGACACGGATGTTCAAGAAGACCTGGAGATTGGCAGCACGATCGCCTGTGTCACCGATCCAGATGTACAACGACTCCAAGCAGAAGATGCACCAAAAGAGCACTAGAGATGCCAGCAGCGAGCTCTCTTGATTCGTCTTTAGACAATCAAGATCATATGCACGCACGCAAAAAGAAACGAAATTGTGGATTGCCTCTATGAGCCTCGCACGGGAGAGCATCGAGCAAAAAGTTCTCGTGTCTTCCGTAGTCAACAGCACCTCTGGACCCACGTTCACCATGCTGCCCTCTCGGACTGCAGACTTGGCCCGATTGAGATGAGAGGTACCGGCAGAGACTTGCCTCCTTCGGGCCCCATCATGCTGCAACAGGTAGGTGTCCATCTCACCTTTGCCTTTCCTTGGCATTCGCACATGACACGCTTACTGCTTCTTGCTGGGGCTGTCTTAGTTTACCCTGCAACCTCTACTTGATCTACTTTTCAAAGACATACTGTAGAGGACCCAAGTTTCACTGTGGTCTTCCTTCCCAACCAGGAATATTGCTGCTCGTCCTTAACATGTTCGTATGTGCTTGCAGACACATGGATGTGATCCACCATCCCAGTACTCATCATCCGCGATGCGGTGTTCACGGTGTCGCCGAACAGGGCAAATTGCGGCTTCTGGGAGCCGACCACCCCGGAGATGACCTGGCCCGTGTTGATGCCAATCTTGAGGGATAGCTTCTCCATCTTCTCCATTCCAGTGGTGCACCTGGTGAAAAGCCTCAGAACTGCGCTCGCAGCCTCGACACACAAGAAAGCTTTCATCTGGACAGTGTTTCGAGCCGACTTCTTCTTCAAGTCTATCATGCCCGCCGCCACAAACGTTTTCCCGACCGTCTCGATTTTGTGAATGGAATGTTCTTGGCAGATGTTGTTGATCTGCGTGAAGACGCGATCAAGCAGCTCCACTAAGTCATTGGGCGCCAGCTGTGCCACGATCTTTTCGAATGCATATATGTCTATGAAAACTACGGTCACTATGCCGCGTTCTTGGAAAATGGTCTTGGTGCTGGAGACCTTCTGCTCTGCCACATTGATTTGCTGCTGGTTGCTGAGAAAGCTCTCCCGAACAGCTTCCACAACATCTTCGGGATACATTCCTTTGAGAAGATCGCGGTCAGAGTTTCTTGCCCTGCCAATACGATCGTCCCATGCGAAGCTGTGCCGAGCAAACCGCTCCGACAGATACATGTAGGCACTGACCAATGCAACCAAACCGAACTGGATGGTCGAATACTCGAAAAGGAGCCGTCCTTCATCGTTGCAAACATTGACTTGTGTGGAGCCATCTCCCACTGTGCATGTTCGGTCGTTTAGGAATAAGTTGGCCCAAACGATCAAGAGCAGCATGTGCAGGCATAGTACTCCGATGGCTTGTGGGAAGCGCATGCGCGCGCCAGCACAAAAGAGAAGAGGCATAATCGCATCCGACACATAGCTGGGGATGCCGTACAGAAACTCTATGACGTGCTTCAACACGATCAGCAGGCAGCAGCAAACGGTCAAGTAACTCGCATGGAAAGCACTGATTCTTTCGAAGCGCAGCGGAAGCAGCAGCGCCTCGCACCCGACCACGAAACCGGCAATGCTCCCAAGACCCAGGATCACTTCTGAGAAGTCTGTGGGCGCAAGCACAAAAGCCAACAGCTTGACCACTTGAAAGCCAACCAGCAGACCGGTGAGGACGCGAGCAGACACGAAGAATTGGTTGCGGCTGGCTTCGTCAAACATTTGACAGAAGGCCTGTTCGTGCAAGCTGGATCTGAATTTCAATGTGAAAATGTTGTACACAAACTCAGTTGTGTACTTCACATTGAACCGGGACTGCGCCTTGTGCTCCATTGGGTGACCAGTTGTGGTGGCACTTGCACTGTGCTTGCGCTCATCAATTTGGTCCAGATCTAAGAGTTCCGGCTGCATGCCTGTAACCTTCGAGAGGCGCTCAGCGAGTGTTCCATTACTGGCCGGATCTCGATCCTCCTGGGATGCCTTGTTGCCCAGCACGTCGGACATCAAACTTATCTGACACCACTGCATCTGACTGATGATCCTCTGCCATTCCTTCGCTCGCTTACCACAGCAGGCGGTGGGGTCTGGAGCATGTTCGTCCTCTCTGCGGTGGCGCTCCATGATCAGTTGTAGACCAGGCTTCTTCGTAGGTGGATGCCTCGCATGCTTTGTAAACTCCTTCAGCTCCACGGCCTCAGCTCGGAAGTCACCTTGGTTGTAATTGTTTCGCTTGTAACTCCATGGAATCGAGTTGACCAGGGCAGCTGGAAACATTCTCTCCATCTTCATGTTCGCCGCATAAAGGAGCTCATCCCGAGTCGTATGTGTCGCACCTGTCGGCGACGACGGCGAGACTGGGGAGGCAGGGGACTGGCGATGCCCTGGAACGACGGGGGAGAGGCTCATGTCTGTCACCACTTGCGTACCTCGGAATGTCGATTGTAGCAAAGACTCCTGCCCCTCACCTGCATAGGTCTTCGTGCGCTGGAATTCCTGCGTTCGCTTCAAGAGGTCTGGCTTGTTGATCCGCTGCCATGCATCCAGAGCCAATTCCACCAGCACGGACAAGGCTAAGACGAGCAGAAGGCTCAGCCATCCCGGCAATGATTGGAAAAGGTGCCCGGCTACCTCGACGAATGTTGGGTTGACAATGTTAGCCATGATAGGCCAGGAGTAAATCAACAAGATCGGAGGGAAGAATATCACAGAGGCGAGAGAGATGAGCAGTTGCCAGTCCATCCAGACTTGTGTGTGCAGCAGAAGCGTGGCATTGGCGACCACCACGCAACTCCAGTACGACCATGCTCCAAGGGACAAGTAGTCGGAGAAAGGCCCAGCAGCCCCACTACCACCTCCCAAGAAGACGCAAGCCACGAAGAAATTCACCAAGGCATGGATGGTTCCACGCAGGAGCCAGGCAAGCAGCATCCGGTAGTTGAAGTAGACCTTGTTCACACCATACAGGTATAGCTTCGGAAGTGTCAGGGCTGCAGGCGCATAGACATCCACGTCCAACGCTCCCACAATGAAGATGGGGAGGTTCGTGAAGACCACGTTGTACATCATGATCAGGTATGGATCATAGAATGTGGTCCCACTAAAGCCGGTGAAGGGCGCATAGCAAGCCATGGTGATAACAAGGAGGAAGTTTTTGTAGAACGAATAGCCGATGACCATGCCAATGCGTCGAATGTTGCTCCGCCCATGCACGAAGAGGAGTGACCTCAAGAAACGGAATTGTCCGATAGCGAAATCCGCGGCATTCACAGCTTCCCGCCCCTCGGCCCCAGCGATTCCAACTCCAACATGTGCCTTCTGAATCATGCTCACATCGTTGCCGCCATCTCCCACGGCCAGAGTCAGGGGATTTCCAGGCACATCTTTCTTAATAAGCTCTACAAGAGCAGCTTTCTGCGCTGGAGATAAGCGGCAGGCAATCACAGAGCAGGAGTTGCAAGCCACTGTGACGAAGAGCTTGTGAAGGAGTGTGTCTGGTGCTTGCAGGATGGCGTAAAGCGCTGGGCCGTTCAGCACAAGGTTGTAGTGAAAACCTCCGCCGTGAGCGTGCTTCAATTCATTCAAGATCTCCTCCTGGATGTACCTTAACCTCTCTTCTAGCTCTAAAGCACTCGAGGAGTCATGCTCGCGGGCAGAGCCCTCCTCACAGGTCAAGTAATAGAGTTGCGAGTGCTGCTCGATGAGGCGACAAATGCTTGCAATGTTTACGGCTGTCTCTACGCAGTCGCCCGTCAGCATCCAAATGCGGATACCACCGTCCAGCAACATCTGAACCGTCTCTGGCACCCCGAACTGAATCTTGTCTTCCACGGCTGTGACGCCAAGCATGTCGAAGTCGCGCTCCATGTCGTCCATGACTCGATTCATCAGCTCATCCCTATTGAAGAAGGAAGTCCGCGCACCCTGCCAACGCTTGATGTAGGCTTCAGCTTCTGCATCAGGCAGCACCCTTTGTCCACAAACCAGTGTCCGCAGTCCATGCATGGAGAAGTGTCGAACTTGCTCCCTTGCAACACGCAGCTTCTTCTTGCGCATGCTCTCTTCCATTTCGCCGGAATCATATGTGTTTCCAGGACCATTTCGCGAAGCCCAGCTCATGAGCCCAGCACTCCGCGTCGGCTCCAATTTGGAGAGCTTCGAATGATCCTCTGTCTCCAGCATCACCGGTGCACCGCTGGGCACAGGCGGTTCTGGCACCGCAGACCGCGCGGAGAGGCCTGCCGAAGAGCATGGAGACGGTACCTTCGGACCTCGAAGCTTTCCTTCGGAGCCGTGGGATCCCACTGCTAGAGCCATGGCCATGCGAGCATTCCGAGTTTTGCCTCTGTCGCTCTTGGGGCTGCTGGGGCCTTCATTGGAGCGATCTGGATCCAGTGACAGCGCATGCGTCATGTCGTCCAAGCCCTCGAAGTCGGCCATGACCCCCGGTGTCGCTCGCTTTGTGTCTTGCTGGCGCATCCGGTCCAGCATGACAGAGTCCGCACCCTTGGCAAAAAGGATGTAACAGCCCTCGGACACTGGTGGCAAGTTATCCATGGACATAACACCAGCATTGCCAAGCAAAATGCTACTGGCCATTGCCTGTGACGTCTGAGGCATAGCACCATCCTCTGTGCACTGACGCACGAGAACAGACATCCGCTTCCGCTCGGACGAGAACTCATTGCACATGATGACTGTGTAGTGCACATCCTGCCCGCGGATGTTGACTGTGACCTTGTTGCCCTGTCGCTTCTTGAAGTAGAAGCCGAAGTCTCGCGCCATTGCCAGTAGCGCTTCTTCGTCCGGGGATTGGCTGCGAAATTGAGTTTGGTTGGCCTCAAGAAGTAGATCCATGCGTGCTCGAACCTCCTGCTGGCTGAGTCCCCTCATGCCTGGGTCATTCTGCATCACATACTCGATATCAGTCAAGGTCTCCAAGTGTGAATTGCGCTTGCTACTCGGAGAGAAGGTGTTATGGTTCGTCGTCTCCGGCATCGCGGTGTGGCATGTGGCGAGGCACAAGAAGAAGTTGTGAACAGAAGATTCCAGACTGTAACTCCAATGAGGGTCCTCATCACTGGGAATTCCCCACAATGAAGGGTTGAGGGGCCTGCAGATGCTGCATGTTGGGATCTTCTCGATCTGGTCACTCGGGTATCCATAGCTCTCCTGCATTGTAACGCTCCCTCCATCCTCGGTGTCATCTTGCCCATTTGACCAGTAGCCGTATGTTTGGCCATCTACGTAGCAGGCTTTGAAGCACATCTTGTTCTGTGTCAAAGTCCCGGTCTTGTCAGTCAGAACGAAATCCACTGTTCCAAGATCTTCGCATAGAGCAGAGGTGCGAACTGTGCAGTAGGAGTCGCCCTGGGCATAGTGCATGCTTTCGTCCCTCTCCATAAGGAAGGCTTGAATTGCGCGGACCACATCGGTTGTCATGTACAAGCTGATGGGGATCAGGTTGTTGTAGCCGATGAGAAATGTTAGAATGGCTAAGTAGGGGCTATCTTGCCCGTTATCCAAATTCTCTGCCTCACTATCCCACACCCAGCGCAAATTCTGAAAACCGGCCGCATCCTCGAGCAGATTCGCTCTTGCAACCGCACAGCCGATAGATATCAGGAAAAGCAACAAGAAGACAATAAACAGCAGCTTGTTGGACATGATCTCCACCTGCGAGCGCTTCGTCGATGTCGACCGGCTGGAATTCCTCACCACTTTTGTGTCGTTGCCCGTGTATACCACAAGACCAATGACATAGTTGGTGTTCCTGATGGTCGACCCTCGCAGAAGTAGGTTCTTCAGGCCCACTGGCACTCCTCGGGGAAAGCCTTTTAGGTAGAGGCAGCCGTCGAAGCGTCCCACAAGCTCGTTGGGCAGATCGGCTTCCATGTGTCCCTCCACGCTTCGAAGCAAGGTATTTTTCACCATATGGTGGGTCTCGTCTACGCACTGCTTCAACTTTAAGGAAGACTCCCCATCCAGTTGTGCCGTGTCGACGCATGCGACAATGCCTGGATAAGAGTAGACGAGAAGCATGTCTGCGGGGACCGGTTGATCTCGATAAAGCTTGACAAAGGATCCAACCTGGGGCCATCCACAACTGCGCAGCAAACCAGGACTACATTTAACCCGGCTTGCTTGGTTATGGGTTCTAGAGAAGTTCTGGTGCTACATCGTCTGATTTTTACAGTACTACCGAGTTGGATATGCTTGCTCCTGTGTCGTTCTTTCGGCTACGTGCTCTTCGAGGCTGTCATGGACTCGCTCTGGATCGTGGTGCCTTTTGTTTCGTCAACGCCCACCTGCACCTGGGACCACTCGATCTCTTTGAAGTTGTCTCGAGATTCCCGTGTGTGGTTGTTCACCTTGTCAGTGAACACGGAACAGAGCTGCTGGTTGACTCTGCGGTCATCCCTCCATCTCTTGAAGTCCTCGTAAGCATCCTTGCAGAAAGTTGCAATGAGCACGATACACAGAGGCACCAGAGTTGCCCAAGAAGTCGTCGGCGAGATCTTGTAAGGCAACATCTGCAAGATGGATACGATGAGGAACCAAACGTTAGCTATACGGTGAAACTGTTCGAACAAGTTCAGCGGAATGATTGTCCAAAGCTTGTACCTGGTTGTTGACACATGGTTGCTTGGAAAAACGGAGAGCTTGTTCGAGTTCGGGCCGAAGGCTATTCGTCTCCGTCCCATGTGGGAACGGTTCTGAGCTGGGACCCCGCCGACTGCGGGCGGTGCTTCCTCTGGCGCCTCGGTCGCCATCTTTCTCACGACGGATCCCAGCGCCCCATTGCGTGTTGGTGCTGTCTTTTTGTTGTGATGCTTGCCGTCTGATGCTGTTCTTGTCACTGGATTTGCTGACACTGTCCCAGACATGCGTGTTCTGTTGCTATGCAGTGCAGCATCTACTACTGATACCACCGTCACTGCCCCAGACTTTGGGGCTTGATCCACAGTGCATCAATGCCGTCCACAAACACCATCGACCATGGCTCTTCGAAGCCCGTCTACTGTACTTTCGAGGTGAAGCCTGATCCTTGGGAGCTCAAGCAACACCTGGACTTCAGCAGCTTCTGCACCACCGCTGGAACCGCTGGAATCTGCAAACAGACTGGTAAGCAAAGCTGGGAGCGCCTTGGCGTTGAGCACCTCCTGCACCCCCCGCTCCACCCCAAGCCGCACACAGACAGACGCACGCCACTGCAAAAAGCTGATCACGACGTGCGAGCAAAAACCTGCCCCAAGGTTGCCCTGCCGTCCTCGGCCGTCTTCGCCGAAGCGATGGTAAGATCCTCGAGGCAGGGCGGGGACCCTTCAGAAACCCAGATGCAGACTCACCCGACGTGTGGAACTATGCCCTTGACAGAGCTAAGAGGGGCATCTCCGAGCGATTTGCCGAGGCGCCAGGAAGCCACCAGAGGCACGGGGGAAACCCAGCTCGCCACATGGACACCTGGGAGATCTCCCACTTGAAAGCCCTCTGCCAAAACACTGATCTCAAGTGAGCTGGCACGAGGCCACGAGGCCACTGCACCGCTCCACCGGCCACGGTCTTTTCCATGGGACGCTGGCACACGGGGCATGCCTGGCATTGCATAGGATTGCGGAAGCTCTGTAGGGATTGTAGAAGGAGGGAGGTGACGGAGATGACCCAAAGAGTGCAACAGTGCAACCGTTAGAGGCAAGCTGGACAAGTGAAGTCTCGAGACAGCGCCCAGTTGCAAAGGGCAGCTTTGTCTCGAGCTCGGCCTCATCAGGGCTTGCTGAAGCACTCCAAGTCTCAGCGCAGCCCCTGTGGCCCCGTCTTGTGACAAGTCCTCAACGTCGACTGTAGCCTCCAGGGCGGTGCAGCGAGGTCTAAGGCCGCGAATCTCTCGGGCCCCCGGCCTGAACTGTCGCAGTCGTCGCAGTCGCAGCCCGACAGTCCGAGCCTCCTCTCCGCCCTTCGGGGTTTTGTGAGCTCAAGTGCGAAAAAGAACACGCTGGAACACCTCAGAGTCGCCGGGCTCCGGACGATTCCGTGTTGACACGGCCTGAGGCTAGAAGCTAGAATCAGCTAGAAGCTCTCCAAGGCTTCGGAACCGAGAGTCACCACTGCAAGTGGCCCAAGTCCAAGGCCAACATGCCAACAAGACCGCCAGCAACCAGCCTCAGCGATCCCCAGACGGCAGTTTTGCCCCCGTGAAGCACATGGGGGTTTCCGAAAATAGGGGACCCTAATATAGTACCCTCAATAGTAGGATCCCTACTATAAGGACCCCAAAATAAGGTACCCCTTATTTTCGGAAGCTCCCACATGAGCTGGAGCTTCTGAACTCGGTTTGGAACCGCACGTCTTCCAACAAAGCCAAAGCTCAGCATGGGGCCAGCCAGAATCCCTCCGTCGCTCAGGCCCTGCCCACTGCAAAACCCGACTTCGCTTCCAAAACCCGTTTTCTTTTTCTGCGCCATATGTAGCTGTATGGGAAGCGCCCAGATCCACGTTGCCCTTGGCAGAAACATGACAACTCCTAAGTTCTGGCCAAGAGAATGTGGTTTACCAAACTTCTGACCGGCGATTTCACGGGAGCCCAAGAATTCCAAGGTCACAGCTGGAGAAGTGTCCAGCATCCCGCATGTTTCCTATCTCGCCCCGCCTGCCGCCGCTGCCCCGGTCACATGTCCACGCAAAGCGGGTGCCCCGACCTCTGTCTTCTGAGAGCTATCATGCCGACAAGAGGTATCGGAAAGATGCTACAATGGTCCTGTGGTGCTTCGGTCATGGCTCATAAACATGAAACCGAACCCGTGGGGCCCTCGGCCGCAGGGATGCACAGTGGACGAATCCGACACTTCCACACAATGCCTCTTGAGACACCTGAACTGAACCCGGGAGCCTGGAGGAGAATCCCTGCTTTTTCCATGCGCTTGTAGTCTGATGCAGGCGGAGCATACCAAGAGCACCAGAGAATTTCAGGAAACTTCCCCCTCTACTGCTACGAGTACATGCACGGGGCCCACAGCTACACTTCCCCCGATGCCCTAATGTCTGCATTCTTCGGTAGCAACAGGGAGGCTCGGATCAACATCTCCTCCTAGATCTATCTCAAAGGCTTCTGCATGCGCCGGCCTCGAGGCTTGCTTTCGCCCACAGGGTGCTGTTTAAGTCAGGAGGCCAAAACAACATGTTGGGAAATGCGTCATCTCTTGGTGCTCCAGACTCCCAACTTGGCTTTATACACACAAAACTGGTCGGGGACAGGCCATACCGGCGTTCAAAGGTGCCGGGCAGGTGTGGAAGACACAGTAAAATGCAGCAAGAACTTGAGTTCAAGCGTTCTCTGGGATATTCTCAAGCCTTTGCAAAGCCACGTAATGTTTACAGGTCACTGCCATCGGATAAGCCGGTGCTCCTTCGCCCAACCCTCTCTCAGAGGCCTGTCCCACCTGCGCTGCAGGGCCCTAAGACGGGGCCCTGGGCTTGGCGGTTTAAAGCGCCTAGCCCCAGATCCCAAACAGCCGCCCGGACTGCCGAGGCAATGTCTCCACAGAGCAGACCGGAGCGGGGTCCTGGGGTCATCAGAGCTTTGTAAAATGCATGCCGGGGCGGCTCGGCGGCACATCGCCGATAGATACAACCGTTCCAGTCTGGCAACCCAAGTCGTGTGTAAGGGTGCTCTTGCGGTTACGTGCATGGGTATCCATTTGCTCTTGCTCCGAGCCGTCCCCGACCGTCACCTCAGACCGTTAGGACGCTTGGCTGTAAATCCTGGGTGATGCGACACCCTCTCAGAAGACCTCCGAGCATGCTGACTCTCACCGTCACAGGAGTCCGGGTCTGTTGTACACCCCTTCTCGCCGAGGTGCAGCCCCCATGTAGAGCAGAAGGAACCAAACAACTCCAAACCGATGTGCATCGGACTTTTGCTCTCTACGACTCTACGACAGGGCATCCACACATTTGGCTTCTAAGGCAGGGCGAAAATGCATGCGTCATACCACCGGGGAACGGAACGAAGGAAGGTCAAGTCATACTGCAGCACTCCTATAGGTCCTTCTGGATCTCGCTGGGGCCAAACATGTAGAGATGTAGAGGTTGCTTCCTTCACTCCCTCAATGCTGGGTTCGCCGTCTTGGCGCAAGTGCCCCGATAATGACATCTACTTGGCCACAGCGCATGGCCTACAAACGAGTTGTGGATCGAAATCGCGATCGCTTGTGCTGCCATTACAACTTCTTCCGTTATGTTGCTTCTCTTGTGCTGTGCTGCATTCAACAGTGACTAACAGCATGTACAACAGCGCCATGCCTGCCAAAATGTCTCCTCTTGCAACGCTTCTGCTACGAAGGAGATGGAATGTTGGGTAGCATTCATTCAGACAGAAACATGGGGCGAGACCGCAATGCGGATGGTCCTGCCTTCGCCATGCCTCACAGTGCCGTCGTGAATGTCGGAACCGAAGCACAGTGCTTGAAGGGATGATCTGCCGGTTTGGGTCTGTACTGTTGGGGTCTCACTAGCACCTACAACAACCGATTTCACCTTTCGCCAGAACTGACGCCTCCTCTCAAGCGCTGACGTCCTCGAGGCCACGGGGCCTCAAAAGAGCCCCTGACTGGTGCCATCGAGCGTTCAAACACGGGGTGTTCGTTTTTTTAATGCTCTGGAACACCAGTCTCGGGGAAAACCAATGGAGGCCGTGCTTGTTTGGTTGACCTAGCTACAATAATGGTAGCGCCCGGTACTACCTGGCCGGAACATCTCATGCGATGCCGATAACCTGCACCAAACAATCACAGCAAGAAAGCCCGAAGGCCTTTGGCACCAGGCGCTTTCCACAAAGCTTCAGTAACTCCGGGCCATAAATAAGCCTTCGTCGGAAAGGGGCAGTCAGAATTCTTTTTCGATCCGCAGAAAGCTTCCAGCCTTCAAGCATTGTTCACTGCCGACTCCACCATTCCGCTTTCTGAAAAGGCGAACACCGGATCCAGGAGCTGGTGCTCTGACGATTTGCAGCTAAGTTCTTCCTCCCAGCAAGGGGTATGTCGCTGTAGTTTGCTTGGGTCTCAGAAGTCTGGGGGGGCTAAAGCTGGTCGAACTGAGCAGCGTCCATCAAAGCAAAACTGAAAGGATAGTCATCTTGATCTCCGGAAGCAACAGGAGTCCGTTCTCAGTGCCACAACTCCTGTGCTTCCCTGCTTTAGGTTGGTTCTGCCACGCAGATGTGTGTGCCGTGGGCGCCATCCTCCTTCCGTATCAGACGAAGTCCAAAAACGACTCTCGCCACTTCTGGGGTGGCCGTTGTGGCCGGACCCAGGATACCCATGGGACCGGGTGTCCCAATGCAGGGGGAGGATTCTCAAAGCGGCCACCAAACAGCTCGTACACTGATCGCGGCTGTAATGGGATTTCAGCCCACATGAGATCCATTCAAATGGTGCTGCCGTCACCCCCACCGGGCTGGTGAGGTCTGTTTACAAAGCTTCAGCACGTAGCTCCAAGCGTTTCAAAACTTATCCGGACTCCATGGGATTGTTTGATGACAAACGGCATGCGCACAGCTTTAGCACCCGAATACAATCAAGTGTTTACACTCTGAAATTGTGCTCTGACGAGGTTCGGCCACCAAACGCTGCCGCAAGCCCAACTCTCTGTTTCCCTAATCAAGCGCTGACAATGCTGAGTTGAAGCCAGAGAGTGCAACAAGGAATCGAACGCGGCCACCAAGAGCTTTCAATGACCATGAACAAACTCTCCGGATGGAGGATGCAGACGGTGGCGTCTTGTTGCATCGGGCACTGGGGAGGGCCAGTAGAAGACGCCATCCCTCCAAACCAATTTATATGGCCGCTCAAAGGGTAAGCTTAAACCCCTGAAACACCTGGCCCTTGAGTAAGCTTGAATATCCACGTGTCCCACACGATAGAATCGAACCCAGTACCAACACATGCTCCCGATTACATGGTACAGACGCCCTGCAGCCCTAAAGTCATTCCACTGAACGGCGAAAAAGCGCAGTCTGTCGCACAGCCCTCTCTGGCATGCTGGAAGGTCGCTCAAGTCAACGAAGTCGACCTATATAAACATTCGAGGCTGCCACAGGATCAAGGATTTAAATTGTAGCTGCAGCCATGAGAGGTCCTCTGTATGGGAACGAGAAGAACCAAAGCCAGGGCACACTGACCCACAAGGGGCCGTACCTACCCTACACTCTGTATCTCACCGGTGTTGTGTTGAGCACTGCCTCTTGTGCCTGCAGATGCTCCACTGCCATCTGCGAAAGCAGAGCATGCGTCCGGGAAAACATGCTGACGCCTCATCCGCTGGAACTGCTATCTGGTTGAGACTCAAACTCCAAACCCTCCAACGTCGCTTCGACTGAGAAGCCTCGCGACTGCCCTCCAATGCTCAGAATAAACAGGAAACAAAGGGATTTCCGAGCTCCACCAGCAGCAGCCTCAGAGGAAGGTGCTCCGGGCGACTTGAACAGCTGAACGTCTGGGCTCGAGATGAGCACTTCCAGGACGATTAAAGGCCGATTCCGATGAAGTTCCACACTAGAAGCAAAGAGAAAAAATGAAAAGTGGTATGGGGTGGCGACATGTTCACTCCTCGTTCTGCCGTTCCGCTACCAAGTCGATTTTGCAGAGGCGGCTTCAGGCTTCGGCATCTTTTCTTTGATGCCTGGTGCCTGGTGGAAATGACTGTTTCTTGCGGCGTCCTATATCAAACTGGTCCGGGGTGTCTCGGGCCACCCGCCCCACGTGTCTGAGCTGCTGTCCAAACCAAAAAGACTGCTTTAAGCTACCACCCCTTCAGTACTCTGAAGCGAATCAACTCCGCCATGGCCTTCATCCTTGAAGCCTTCAGCATACAATTTGGAAAGCAGCTCCCTATATAGACGAAATGGGCCTGAGGCTTAATTAGACTGCGCGTCGCAAATCTGCACGAACAATGTCCTGAGGGCACGGGGCGCCACATGCAGGGTCCAAACAACATCTAGGTCCACAGGCGACAGAAATCTTGAACCGCAATCTGACGCTATGAACGGAGTTCAGCGCAAACGCATCAGGTTACAGAGTGGCTGGTTCACAGGAATCAGAAGGGCTGCGGCCGAGAAGCCCCGTCGGAAATGAGGACGTCGTAGACTCGCACCTCACAGTTACCTTGGCCAGCATTTGCAAGGGTGCTGTTTCGTGGAATTTACAGAGGATGGGCATTCAAGCGATATCTACGAGGTCCGGCGCTAGCATGTGCGACTCCAACCTGATCAGCCAAATGGACGCGACTCAGTCTTACATAGCATCTGTTTATTCACCCGCGCGTTCTACACCCTCCACCCGCTCATAGACATCGGATTTTCACCTCATCAAGACACGTTGCAACATCTCATGCAAGATGAAGGTTCACATTGGTCTTTTTTTTGGAACACACACTAGCGACGCCGCATGTTGGTGGCATCTGCCTGGAGATCGCTGCATGAATAATTTGACATGTTGTGCTTAACAGCCTGAAACTGAAAGGCGAGAGGAGAACGAAATGACAGCAGCCGTCATAGCAGGAGCAGTCGCAGCAGAGTAGTCGTCGTAGTTGTTGTTGCTGTTGTGGTGGTCGGGGTAGTAGTAGTAGTAGTAGTAGTAGTAGTAGTAGTAATAGTAGTAGTAGTAGTAGTAGTAGTAGTAGTAGTAGTAGTAGTACTAGTAGTACTAGTAGTAGTACTAGTAATAGTAGTAGTAGTAG